TTGCCATGGGGATGTGTGGACCTGCACAGGCCTTGAAGGCAGAGTGRCCTGATGGTGAGGTGGGGGTGRGGGTGGGGGGTTATCATCATCAGCAGACCACTCTGGGCCAGGGTCCAGAGGCCTGGGTGCAGGCGAAGCTGCGACGCAGTGGATGCACCCCATCATCCCCGGGCAATGTCGCCTCGGTTTTCGAACCCTACGGAGAATCCGACACGGCGCTCAGTGGCGCAGGGGCTCCGGTCTGTCCATCGGGGGGGTCGGCTGCCCGACTCCCATAAGCCTGGGACAGACGGGGTGGGCTGGAGTGGTGCAGGGGGGCCAGGAGAGGCGAGCTGGACCGCGGCCCAGYGCGGTGACTGCCTGTCTGCTCAGGCGCTGGGCCACGCTGCCACTCCTCCCTGGGCTCGTGCCCCTGCACTTGGATTTCAAAGGGACGTGACGAGGAGGGGGGGGCAGGATCCCTTCCCCACCAGCAGCTTCTCCAAAGCCCCCGCTCTTCCTCCCAACCCCCCAAATGCCCCCTCCAACAGYTTTTCTGTTGAACCCTCTCACACTKTGCCATTCCCACCACTGCTTCCTCACATTTTGGAGAAGAAGGGGGAGGTTGTGCTGCTACACTGCACCCATCTGCCCCGTGTCTCTCCATGCTGTGGACCATGATGCTGCAGCAYGGCTCTCTGGGCTCCGTAAAGACTTTGGCAAACCAGGGCCTTCGAGCAAAGCTCCTTCTTTGTGCTCTCCCTGCAACATGCAAACATGGACGCGTTGCATTTAGAAATTAAAGGAGTGATTTAGACTGAAACGTTGCTTTAACTCTTCTGACTTTGAGTCTTAGTCATGCCTGCTGAACTCTGAGCCATCTGAGAAAGATCTGAGTCAGACGTGGTGCCACAGTGTCTGAGTGGCCACCAGCTACTGGCCCATCATCAGTGAGCATCCCACCAAACYGAAGTGACACCGACAGGCTGTGTTTCAGCTGGCTGAGGTCTGCGCTCCTCTCCCTCTCCCCTGTCTACGTTGCTCTCTTCATCGCGCTCTGCGTGGCATTTCTCTGGCATGTCCTCTAGTGAAATTTTTTTTCTTCCCCCCACCTCCTGGTCTCAGCATTCCCGCGGCCCACCTCCCTGCCTGGGCAGAGCGCAGTAGCTGGGGTAGGAGGGCTGGACGGCTTCTGCCCCCCTAAAAACGCTTGTCCTGAGCTGCAGCTACAACTGCAGCCCACAACACATTCCTCTAACCCCTGACCCGTCCCCACAGCAACCAGGAGAGAGGTGAAGGGAGGAGATTCTTTTTACTTTTTAAACTGAGGTCAACAGTTAAAAAGTAAAAAAAAAAACTAATAAAATATTAAATATTCAGCATTTTCCTAATTGTTTTTCTTCTTACATTTATCGTAACTTAGAAAAGAATCAGGTTTATTTCAAAACCTTTCAGTGTTTTCTTTTGGACTATTGCTGCTTTTTTGTTTATCTCCACTCCACTTAACMCTTTTCAGATGAAAATTTTATCTTATTAAGCCACATGAAGGGAAAAAAACAGAGTTGTGTGGACAAATAACATGCAATTTGGCAAATAACTACGTACTTTTAAAGTGGATCTATGGCCACTTTGCTGCAGGCCAAAAGCACAATTTGCTTCTAATTTCTTTGCTGATATATGAAAAATGGCCAAATTAAACACAGTTCGACACCTAAAGCAGCATTTTAACACCAACAAGCTGATTCCTAAAGTGATATGAGCTGACAACATGACACTGAAGGGTGATGATTGACCCTTTGGATTATTTTTCTGTTACTTAATAGATTTTAAATATAGTTGTACAGTTTTACATGTTGCATGTTTTTTTCTTGTTCTCCACTTGTCTGCTTTCCTCAAACTTTTAACCACATGTGCAATGTTCTTATGATCACATACAAGGATTGGTCTGAACATGAGAGAAAACCTTTGAAATACTTCCAAAAAAACTCAAACTTCAGTGTTTTCATTTGGACTATTGCTGTTTTTTTAAAATCTCCACTCCACATGACCATTTTCAGATGAATATTTTGGCTTATTAAGTCACATGAGTAAAAAAAAAAAAGAACCAGTGTTGTGTGGGCAAATAACATGGGATTAAACTGGATTTTTGGCCTCTTTGCTGCCGGCCGCCACAAAAGTACAATTTGCTACTAATTTCTTTGCTGAAATATGAAAAATGACTAAATTAAACACAGTTTGACACCTAAAGCAGCATTTTAACACCAACAAGCTGATTCCTAAAGAGATATGAGCTGACAGCGTGACACACTGAAGGGCGATGGTTGGGCCTTTGGATTATTTTTCTGTTTTTTTTTTAATAAATTTTGAAATATAGTTGTACAGTTTTACATGCTGTATGTTTTTTTCTTGTTCTCCACTTGTCCGCTTTTCTTAACCACGTGCAATGTTTTTATGATCAAGTACAAGGATTGGTCTGAACATGAGAGAAAACCTTTGAAATACTTCCAAAAMGCTCAAGAAACTGCTTTAGGCCCATTTAAAATGTTTACATGAAAACTTGTCTCTTTGGCAGCAAAATATAAAGAACTTAGAGGTGGTTAGAGACTTTTGTACTGACTGATTCCAGAATGAGTGACATCAATGCTCCTCCGCATCTCCCTTTTCACAGATCCATGATGGGACAGACATCGAGCTCCTGGACAGCTCAAGTAGAGACAGGACAGGAGCCGGATGGTTCCCTCTCCTCCCTCCCTCCTGCTTGTCCCCCAAGCCGAGCCAGACGCTGTGTTTACTCTCCTAATTACAGGGGAGGGGCCGGCTGACAGGCGAGCCATCACAGGATCCCCGCAGGCCTGGGGCTGGGAACGCTGCGAACAACCCGCCGCTGTCTCCCAAACGTGACGGCAATGTCCAACTGTCACGGGGGGAGCCTTTACTGGCAAAACCCAAGGGTTCAAAAAGAGAGATATTAAGGGCATGAGAGGAATTGGCAGAGTTGGCACCGACCTGGGGGTGGGCGCTTGAGAAGTCAAAGTAGGGAGTTGGGGGCATCGCCAAAGTGTCATTCAAAGCAGAGTGGGGTTTAAAGTGGGCACAGAGTTACACACACACACACACACACACACACACACACACACAC